TGTTGAGGACTTGGTAGGGAGGAAGCTGGCCTCAACATAAACTTGAGGAATGAATAAATGTACCACATGTTAACTGTTATCACCTGCATACAAGATGACAGTAGCTTTGGTTTTTTTTCTTTGTGTTTTTAATGTTCATTTGTTGTCTGTTTGAACCTCAGGGGTATGGGCCTGGACTGATATGAACCCTTGGCCCTCACCCTGGCCTGCATTCTGTGTTTCTCATGTGAAGGGCCCTACCTAACTTCTGCCCATTGTTTCCCTGGCTCCCCTTCTGGGAAGCATCTGCTTAAGACTCCTGTCCATTTTTCTATTGGGTTGTTTGTTTATATTCTTTTATTTTTTAACCTGTTACTTGGAAATACAAATACAGCTTGAGCATCCCTGATCCACAAATCCAAAGTCACAAATGCTCCAAATTCTGAAACTTTTTGAGCACTGACATGATGATGAAGATGATGTTAGCACTACAGAAATCATGTCTACAGACACCACTGTGAGGACGTGTGATGGGCTTATTGAAGGACTAGGGCAGCATGCATTCATAACAGAGCCGAAATCATGTTAGTTTATAAAATCAAAGAGAAACCTCTAAGGCAAAAATTATTATTAATGAGGCAGATGACTCGAGTACACATTTTCAAAAGCCATCCAGCAGAATGCATCTTCATTCCTGGAGGACCCACTTCGTGGTCCCTCAACTGCTTCTGATTTTTTTTCTCTCACCTAAAAAAATTAAAAGCATGATAGCTCACATCTGTCATCCTGGCACTTTGAGAGCCCCAGGTAGGAGAATTGCTAGAGGCCGGGAGTCTGAGATCAACCTAGACAGCACAGAGAGACCCTGTCTCTTTAGCTGGACATGGTAGTGTACACCTGTAATCCCAGCTACTCAGGAGGCTGAAGCAGGAGAACCACTTGAGCCTGAGTTTGAGGCTGCAGTGAGCCATGTTCACAACATTGTACTCCAGCCTGGGTGACAGAGTAAGACTCTGTCTTTCTTAACTAACTAACTAACTAACTAACTAACTAACTAACTAACTAACTAACAAACAAACAGAACACATAACACACACAAGCAAAAACTAAATGCAAGCCAAGCACGGTGGCTCATACCTCTAATCCCAGCACTTTGGGAGATGGAAGTGAGAGGACTGCCTGAGCCCGCAGGTTTGAGACCAGCCTGGGCAACATGGTGAGACCACGTCTCTACAATAAATCAAAAATTAGCTGGGCATGGTGGCGCACGCCTACAGTTCCAGCTACTTGGAAGACTGAGGTGGAAGGATCGCCTGAGCCCAGCAAGTTGAGGCTGTGGTGGCTGTGAGCGTGCTCTAGCCTGGATTACAACAGAATGAGACTCTAACTCAAAAACAAAAAAACTGAATGCAATGTACAGTAACCTTTTAGCCAAAACACAACATTGTAAGTGGAAACTGAAAACCTGTTTGTTGCTGCTGTTGTCTGACAGCTGATACAAGTATTCTGGTGATGCTACCGTGCTGCTTAGTTACCCTGAGTACATTATTTTTTTCACTGTACATATGTTTTATGTTTAACTGTTAAGTACTTGTGTGAATAAGTGTAGGGAAATGATTGCTTATCAGTAGCACAGAAATTCAGTCAGGAGGGGGGGGTCTATTATGGAAAGCCATAGACCACAGATAGGCTGACCTGATCATCCTGTCATTCTTTTACCACTGTGCAGAATAAACATCCTCTTGAACAGTCAGCATGAGAAGGCTTGGGAAATAGTCATAATAATTACCCATATATTTTCTGGGTAGATCCTTAATGTTATGCTCTTCTACATATTTCTTTCATTCTAAAATTGTTCTTGGAGGAACAAGTGTCTTATTCCAGTAAGGACCCATGTCCACTCTGATACAAGGTCATCCACTCACTAGGAATATGGTGGAGTTCAGTACTATTCAGGTCAGCCATATAAAAAAGACTACTCGCTATTAATAAATTGAGTAAAACAGTTTTGTCTATTAGCAGAAAGGGCCTTTCTGGCAGAAGAGATTAAAAATTGGCCTTGCTTCATTTTCATACTTCAGGGAATTGCAAATTGAAGATTTACTTATCTAGGACTTTAATCCCTTCTTCAGAACCAAGTTAATAAAAACCAAGAAACTTCTGATTAAACTGGATATGCAGTATTTTGTAGGCAGGACTTCACATTTTGGCTTTGTTATAATTGTTTTCTCAGTTAACATCTCAGAGCTGAAACATTCTGCATTCCCTAGTAGTGTGGAAGATGACTCAAGTTTACAGTTCTGACTAAAAATTCCCCTGCTTCCAGCTTATCTGAATCCCTGACCTTACTCCTATTAATTAAGCATCACACTACGGGAAATACACTAGCAAATTGTGCAACTGAGTAAAACCCACTCTTTTCTTTAGATCCTTACAGCTATATCATATGTAATAGTATCACTTTTTCTACACTTTGGTCAAATAAATTTTTACATAAACAAACAAACAAACAAAAAAGAAAGTCAGAAATGATGGTTGCTCACTTCCTTTGCAGTATCTTGTCTCATGGCTTGGATAGCAGCACACCACTGATCTCTATCCTAGTGTGATGTACTTGGGTCATTGGCAGTTTGCTGTTATAAACAGGCTGCCCTGCATGTATCAGGGCTCCCTGGTGCAGGCTCTTTACCTGGAATGGACTTAATGGATCTTGAGTGCATATCTGCTGCTTTCTTAGGTGATGCTAAGCTGTTTTCCAAAGTCCCTATGCCAGTTTCTCCAGGCTGTTCCACATCCTTGCTTTCATGTGGCTTTCCACCACACTCCTCCGTCTTTGTCTATCATGCTGGGCCTGTGTCTCACTGACCAGTGGTGGAGCCCAGTGGCAGTGCATGGGTCTTGGCAATTGGGATTTGTTCATGTTTTTCGTTCATCTTCCTGTTGATTTGTTTTTTTCTCATTGACTTGTTGGAATTCTCTGATCCCTTTGCTTGTGTCACCGTAGTGGCTGTCTTTCCAATTCTCTTTTTTTTTGAGTTGGAGTCTCACTCTGTCACCCAGACTGGAGTGCAGTGGCCGCTCCTGGCCACCGCAGCCTCGACCTGCTTAGCTCCGGCGATCCTTCCACCTCAGCCTTCCAAGTAGCCGGAATTACAGGCGTGCGCTACCATGCCCGGCTAATTTTTTGATTTATTGTAGAGATGAGGTCTTGCCAAGTTGCCCAGGTGGGTCTCGAACCCATGGGCTCAGGCAATCCACTCACCCCAGCCTCCCAAGGCACGGGATTACAGGCTGAGCCACCGAGCCCGGCTTCCAATTCTCTTTATGCTGTTTTGATTAATAAAAATTCTGAACTTCAGTGTAGTCCTTTGTCATCATTTTCTTACATCCATACCTCCCAGTTCTGAGGTCATGAAGGTTCTTCTGCAGCATCTTCTAAAAGCAGTACAGTGTATCTCATGCTTAGATCTAAGACCTGTATTTCCTTTGCTTGCATGGTATACATCTGTTTCATCCTGTCAAACTCACAGCTGGAGTAGCCCCAAAATCAGTGGCAAGGGGAATCCCACAAGGGAATACCCCCAAACTGTCAAAAATAAGGCTAATTGGAATTCCAAAGAAAGAGGCACTAGACACCAGGATGATCAGTCCAAAGCTTTTATTAGGGGAATTTACATAGAAAGGGCTGCAGCAATCCTCTCTGTGGACAGGTGCTCTACCCAGGTATGTCCACAACCAGGGGGTCTGGTATGGAGTGTCTGTGAGGGTTTAAAGAACTTGACTCAGAGCCACAGCTTGGGCTCTAGGCATTAATTGGCTGCATCTGGCTCTGTCATTCGCTACTCCAAGACCTTGGCAGAGTCCATAGTCCCTGGGACCTCTGGCTCCTCACCTGTGAAATTGGGGCCATGGTGGCATCTCTTTCCTAGGATTTTCATGTGAAATAAAAGTCTTATCACATGCACTGTGCCTCAGAGGGCATTTACACTGTATTCAGTGTCCTTTGTTTTTATTTTTATTAATCTCACAACCACTTCTTAATAGCCACGTTTTTTATTTTTCCTTTTTTTAGTCAGGGTCTCACTCTTGCCCAGCCTGGAGTGCAGTGGCACAATCAAGATGATCATGGCTCACACCTGCGTTCAGGTGATCTTTCCACTTCAGCCTCCCAAGTAGCTGGGACTACAAGCATGTACCACCACATCTGGCTAATTTTTTCATTTTTTTTGTAGAGACAAGGTTTAAGTGCGGTTCTCAGCTCACTTGGGAACACGTGAGAAATGTACACTTGAGTCCCTTCCTTCATCGACGGCCTGCTGAGTCAGAGCTTGGGGCGGGGGTGTGACAGGAGAGGACTTCCTCCAACATGGTGTTTAACGAGTCTTCTGGTGATTTTCATGCTGTTATGTTTGAGAACCACTGGCCAGGTGTGGTGGCTCACACCTATATAATCCCAGCACTTTGGGAGGCAGAGGTGAGAGGTTGCCTGAGCCCACAGGTTCGAGACCAACCTGGGCAACTTGGCAAGACTTCGTCTCTACAATAAATCAAAATATTAGCCGGGTGTGGTGGTGCATGTCTATAGCTCCAGCTACTTTTAAAGGCTGAGGTGGAAGGATTGCCTGAGCCCAGGAGGGCGAGGCTGCAATGGCCATGAGCATGCTACTGCACGCCAGCCTGGGTGACAGAGTGAGACTCTGACTCAAAAAAAAAGAGAACCAACGAAGGAATTTCCCCGGTATTTGAACCCGGGTCTACCTAACACAAGCCCATTCTTCTACTTAATGCTTTAAACTACCAACCTTTTAAATTAGGTAAAATAATGTTAACTGGGGGAAAAAAGTATTTGTCCCCTGGAGAGAGGTGGGTATACTTTTGCTTTTGTTCATGCCCTCTCCTCCTCCCACATGGGAGTCACAGTGAGGCCAGACCTCTGGTGATGTGGCTTGGACCTCAAGGTGGTAGACAGGAGAAGTTGTGGTTTCAGGAGGAGACTGAGCTGTCTTGTTTGTTTCTTGCAGCTGCTCAGATGGAAGTTAAGAAGCCCTTCATTCTCTCTTCTATGAGGCTTCCTCTTCTGGACACCAACAACAAGGTAAACTAGACAGGTCATCTTGAGTTTTCACCACGAGCAGCTGCAGGGATTGTGACCAGACTGGGCCATGAGGCTGCCCACTGACCAGGCAACCGCCACCCTCAGCCAGATTGGGCTTCAAGAGAAAGTGTGGGGATGTGTGCATGCTTAGTACATGTGGCTGGTGCTTTCTCACATCTTACCTTTGGTGTAGTTAGCCAGGTATGATGTTAGGAAACAGTCCCTAAGACCACCCTTACCGTTGAAACCAAGCACAGGTCCAGGGATCTCCAGCACTACCCTTAGGCTCAGTGATTCACTAGAAGGACTACCGAACTCAGAACACTATATACTCATGGTTATGGGTTATTACAGCCAAGGGCACAGATTAAAATCAGCCAAGGTCAAGGTGCATGTTACAGAGTCCAGGAGGGTTCACCCACAGAGATTCTAGTTGTCTGCCCCAGTGGGGTCATGGACAGTGTTAACGTCCGTCCCCTCTGCCCCCTCCAATGATGTTTGTCAATGAGAAGGCCTCCTCAGGGCAGTGATGCTTGACCTGAGATATGAAGGACAGAGGTGTTATCACTATGCAGGAGAGGTTCCCAAGGGGAAGGCGGCATATGAAAAGATCTGGAGCTAGAAGCAGGGGCCAGTATTTGTGGGACAGAGTGCAGTGGGGGTGGGAAGGAAGGGCTGGCTCTTTTTGGTATGTAGGACTGGCTGTGACTTTGAATCACCAGGCATAGTTACTGGACGAGGCAGGACATGTAGGCTGAGAACTCCCAGAAGCGTTTGGATAACAATTTCAGGTTTAGGGATCAAATCCATAGTGTACCCCAGGAAATGTTTGGATGTCGCACAAGAGAAGCTGGTCTTGGAGGACAGCAGTCCCATTGCCCAAGACCAGGGCCAGCACTGGGCAGAGGGATGGGTGTGTTTGGAGCCTGGGGCGGGGGGTAGCCAGTGTCCTGGAGGCTGGAGGGCAGGGTGGTTTCCGGTGGGGCCATCAGCAGAGCACCTCTTATGGAGTTGCAGTGAAACTTGATGGAAGTGGATGAAGGAAGGAAACTAGTGAGATGAGGAGACTTCTGAGGCCCCAGACAGCAGGAGAGGGAGGTGAGGGGAATGGGAGGAAAGAAGCCTTCCTATACAGACCTGAGCATATCTACAAATTGGTGAGAAGGCTGCTGTCAGCGTGCTGAGGGAGCCTCCATGCAGCCAAGGGACCGAGAGAAAGGCAGATGCAGGCCTGGATGTGGGTGCAGAAATAGGTATTAGTGCAGATATAAGTGCAAATGCAGCACAAGTGTGGGTGGGGAAAGGAGTGAGGTTCCTGTCTGCTGGCTGGCCTGGCATAGTGGTGTCTGTCTGCAGCCCCTTCCTGATCTCCCACTGGTTCTGGGCAGGTGAAGCGGGCTGTGGTGCAGGTGATCAGCGCCATGGCCCACCATGGCTACCTGGAGCAGCCTGGAGGCGAGGCGATGATCGAATACATCGTGCAACAGTGTGCGCTGCCCCCAGAGCAGGAGGTAAGGAGTCACTACCTCTCCCACCTCCTGGGTCAATATTGTCCTTGTTCCTGACCTCTGTCAGGCCCTGGTCATCAGGAGCTGCCAGCTCCAGGAGAGGATAGATGTGTGGGCCTGAGTCTACATGCTGAGGCTCCCTTAAGTCGGGGTCTCTATACTGCATTAGTCTACTTGGCAGCTCCTAGAACTCAGAACACAGAGCCAGAAAATAGAGACTTTGTTCTTGAGGGCATTTCTATTTAAGAAGTTTCTAGGCTGAGGTGAGTGGATTGCCTGAGCCCAGGGGTTCGAGGCCTGCCTGGGCAACTTGGCAAGACCTCATCTCTACAATAAATCAAAAAATTAGCCTGGTATGGTAGCGTACACCTGTAGTTCCAGCTACTTGGAAGACTGAGGTGGAAGGATCACCAGAGCCCAGCAGGTCAAGGCTGCAGTGGCCAGAAGCGGCCACTGCACTCCAGTCTGGGCGACAGAGTGAGACTCCAACATACACACACACACACAAAAGTTTCTAAACAAATGCCAGTTATTTCTTGAAAGAGAGCAAAATAGAATGTGGTAAAAATAAACCTCAGATAGACTGGGCAATCTGATGTCACCCTGCACTGCTGCCAGTATGCTGCTGAGTGTTCAGACTGCAGAATAGGCATGTGGCTATTCAGACTGTACCTATTCTGCAGTCTCAACACTTGGGTCCTTCCAGCTCTGGGTCTGGGTCTGGTTCTTCAACTCAATGAAGCCAGTCTGTCTACCAACTTCAGCTAAGAACAGAGATTAATGTCCTCCTGGTACTCTTGTGACTGTCACTATGAAACCCACCATGCTGTAAGTGTGGTATGTGCAGTAGTTATCTGAAAACATTAGCATTCAGTGAGAGTGTAGTGATATGCTGTGACTCTGCCCTCTCAGAGGAGTGCAGCTGTCATTGGGAAAGCCACATGCCTATTCTGCAGTCTGAACAGGTGGGACTGCTTCTGATCACAGCATCTTCCCAGCACCTCTGTGGGTCATGAGGCATGAACTGGCAAACCAAGGTCTCTGTTTCAGTCTGTTAGTTCCCAACAGTTTGGATCTGAAGATCTCTTTCAATATTAGAAAACTTTGACAGACTGTTATGGTAGGAACTGTACTTTAATTCCCTTTGATAAAGAATAGTCTTTGAATTTTTTTTTTTTTTTTTTTGAGTTGGAGTCTCTCTTGCTAGGCTGGAGTGCAGTAGCATGACCATGGCTCACTGTAACCTCAACCTCCTGGGCTCAGGTGATACTTCTGCCTCAGCTTCCTGAGTAGCTAGAACTACAGGTGTATGCTACCACTCCTGGCTAATTGTGTGTGTTTGTGTGTGTGTGGAGACATGGTCTCGCTATGTTGCCCAGGCTAGTCTCAAACTCCTGGACTCAAGCTGTCCTCCTGCCTCAGCCTTCCAAAGTGCTGGAATTACAGGCATCAGCCACCGTCCCCGGCCACTGAACAGGATGAAATTTAACAGACTCAAATATGTTTAAACTGCAGCACTTTTGCTTGGTCAGCATATGTGGGGTTCAGTATATCAATCTTTCTACTCTATTTGTTTCAAAATTTCCATGATAAAAATGTTCAACAAAAGAAAACAAAACTGAATATATTACTCTTAGGCAAGTGGGCCTTGTAGTATTGGCCAGATTTGCAGCAAAGGGAGGTGAGCAGCTGTGGCAGACCCTGTGGTGCCCTTGGGTTTCTTGGGTCTTATTTCCTCTTGTAGCCAAGGGGGTGGCTGAGTGACTCTAGAGACTAAGTACAGGGTCACTGGGGAAGAAAGAAGGGACTAATATTTAGATTTCCTTTTACGGTTTTAGAGAGATGTGAGTTAAAGATTAGAATTATTTTTTATTATTATATTTTGCTTTCTCATCTGTACTCCCCCACAACTTTCTTTAAAATTCAGATTTATTGTTGTATAATTTGTGTACAGTAAAATGCACCCATCCAGGCTAGGCAGCATCAAACTCCTGGACTCAAGTAATCCTTCTGCCTCAGCCTCCCAAGTAGCTGGGACTACAGGCATGCACCACTACTCCTGGCTCATTTTAAAAATTTTTTGTAAAGGCAAGGTCTCACTATGTTACCCAGGCTGATCTCGAACTCCTGGGCTCGAGTAATTCTCTTGCCTTGGCCTCCCAAAGTGCTGGGATCACAGGCGTGAGCTACCATGCCCAGCTTAAGTATTTTCTTACAGGTCCATTGCTTGCTTGTCTTTTTGCTTTCTTAGCAGTGTCTTTTAAACAGCAGACATCTAAGTTTTTTTAAGTTTTCACTATGTGTCCTACCTAGTAAATTCTTGCTAAGCCCACGATCACAAGGATTTTCTCCTTTAAATTTTTTTATTTTTTTGAATCAGAGTCTTATTCTGTCACCCAGGCTGCAGTGCAGTGGCACACTCATGACCACCACAGCCTCAACCTGCTGGACTCAGGCAATCCTTCTGCCTCAGTCTTACAAGTAGCTAGAACTACAGGCATGCACCACCATGCCCGGCTAATTTTTTATAGAGATGAGGTCTCGCCAAGTTGCCCAGGCTGGTCTTAAATCAGCGGGCTCAGGCAATCTTCTCACCTCGGCCTCCCAAAGTGCTGGGATTATAGGTGTGAGCCACCACGACTGGCCGGATTTTCTCCTTTTATTCTAAAACTTTTAAGTCATAGGTTTCATATATAGGTTTATGGTTCATTTTGTGTTAATTTTTTTGTTAAATGTGAGGTATGGGTTGTGGCTCTTTTTTTTGGTATGTGAATGTCCAGTTGTCCTAGCACCACATGTTGAGAAGACAGTACAATAGAGAAGACTCTTCTTCCTGTAATTTTTTTTATCTTTGTCAAAATTCAACCAACTTTATGAGTTTTCTGTTTTGTTCCACTAATCTGTGGCTGTTCTTTCATCAGTACCACACAGTGTTGTCTGGTTTTACAGCAAGTTTGGAGTCTACCTTTGGTCTTCTTTTCCAGTCATGTTTTGACTATTTTAATTCCTTTGTTTTTCCATGTAAATTTTAGAATCATCGTTTTTATTTCAACAAAAGTAATCCTATTGAAATTTTTATTGGGATTGTGTTCAACCTGTAGACCATTTGGGGAGAATTGATATTTTATAATATTGAGTTTTCCAATCAGTGAAACAGTACATCATTATATTTATTTAGATCTTCTGTGAATTATTTCATCAGTATTTTGTAATTTTGAGCATATGGATTCTATATATTCTAGGTTTTTTTATTTTATGCATGTATGTATATATGTATGTATGTATTTATTTATTTTGAGTTGGAGTCTCACTCTGTGCCCAGGCTGGAGTGCAGTGGCATGCTCATGGCCACCGCAGCCTTGACCTGCTGGGCTCAGGTAATCCTTCCACCTCAGCCTTCCAAACAGCTGGAACTACATGCATGTGTTACCATGCCCAGCTAATTTTTTGATTTATTGTAGAAATGAGGTCTCGCCAAGTTACCTGCTGGTCTCAAACCCTTGGGCTCAGGCAATCCTCTCACCTCAGCCTCCCAAAGTGCTGGGATTATAGTTGTGAACCACCATACCCAGCCCTAGTATTTTTTTTAGATTTATAACTATGTTGTTTTTAGTGCCATTGTAATTGTATAGTTTTGTTCATTTCAGTTTCTGTTTATTGCTAGTGTATAGAAATACAATTGATTTTTACATATTGACTTTGTATCCTATGGCCTTGCTTTTTTATAGATTCTTTGGGATTTTCTACATAGAACATCATGTCTTATTCAAATAGACAGTTTTGTAAATTTGCATGTGTCTTTTTTACTTGCCTTCTTGCATTGGTTAGAAGCTCTGGGTGCAATGCTGAATAGAAGTGGTAAGAACAGCCATCCTTGGTTTGTTCCTGTAATAAGGGGAACATTGTCTTTTACTACTAAGAATATTGTTAGTACAGGCATCCTTTGGAGATATTGCTTGCTCAATTCTAGATCACTGCAATAAAGCCAATACTGAAATAAAGTGAGGTGTGAATTTTTTGATTTCTGCTGGGAAATCATATAAAATTTGTTTACATTATACTGTAGTCTGCAATAGCATTATATCTAAAAATGTACGTATCTTAATTTCAAAATATTGCCAAAAATGGTAAGGATCATCTGAGACTTCAGCAAGTCATTATCTTTTTACTGGTAGAGGATCTTACCTCGATGTTGATGGCTGCTGATTGATCAAGGTGGTGGTTGCTGAAGGTTGGGGTGGCTACGGCAGTTTCTTAAAATAAGACAACAATGAAGTTTGCCACATAGATTGACTCTTTGTTTCACGACAGATTTCTATGTATCATGTACTATTTGATAGCATTTTACCCACAGTAGAACTTCTTTCAAAATTGAAGTCAATCTTCTCAAACCCTAAGACTGCTTTATCACCTAAGTTTATGCACTATTCTAAATCCTTTGTTGTTGTTTCAATAATATTCACAGCAGCTTCACCAGGAGTAGATTTTATCTCAAGAAATCATTTTCTTCACACAACCAAATAAGCAATTCCTCATCTATTCCAAGTTTTATCATGAGATTACAGCAATTCAGTAATCTTCAGGCTCCACTTCTAATTTCATTTTTCTTAGTATTTCCACCATATCTGCAATTACTTCCTCCAATGAAATCTTGAACCCAGCCGGGCTCGGTGGCTCAGCCTGTAATCCTGCGCCTTTGGGAGACTGAGGTGACTGAATTGCCTGAGCCCGCAGGCTTGAAACCCGCCTGGGCAGGCGAGACCTCATCTCTACAATAAATCAAAAATATTAACTGGGCGTAATAGCATGCGCCTGTAGTTCCAGCTATGTGGAAGGCTGAGGCGGAAGGATCACTGGAGCCCAGCAGGTCGAGGCTGCGGTGGCTGGGAGCGGCCACTGCACTCCAGTCTAGGCGACAGTGAGACTCCAACTCAAAAAAAAAAAAAAAGAAGAAGAAGAAATCTTGAACCCCTCAGAGTCATCCATGAGGGTTGGAATCAACT